ATAAGAGTAGGGAAAGCGAATGAATCTATTGAAAATTTCGAAATAATAATAAAATGAATGACGATAATTATGATATTTATTGTCGTTCGAAAATTTCGTTTTCGTTCAATAATGTCTGTCAAAATGATTTAATAGAGCAAAAATATGGAATAATGTAATAAGGTTTGATTATATTCAATGGCTGTAAAGCCTTTATATAAGACCATCTCAAAGCCGAAACCTGAATTTATATTCTTATGAATAATGGGAGATATGAAATCGCACGGCTCAGCAAATTTAATTGAATGACAATTGAATGAGAATACATTTATTATTAGAATAAATTGTTATTGAAAATTGATATTATCTTTTTAAAAGTCATTACGATGATTGTATGGGCCATGCCGAGTGTAACATTTAAGATCAATTTGAGGCTTTAATCAATACAGAAGAATTACATCCTCTATTGATCATCGATAATAATTGTAACAATCATTGTGGATCCTTTAATGGATTTAATGGTAAATGAAAGAAGAGCTTAAATAATAAGTGATTACAATTTACATATCGTGCTTTATGTAGAATATTCGCAATTTACGAATCTTATAAAGAAATAAAATTTCCGATCATATTAAATGGTAATTGAATTGTTTTCAACTCGGTAAATGAAAGAATAATCGGATGCATACTGGGCGCTCGGTGATTACGAATATTTATATTTGTAGTATCAAAATTTGGAATCATCTCCTTAATGTAAACATTATTACCACAAACAGCTTTACTATTGTCTTACGTTAACTTAGGGAATTATTAATATTGATTTTTACGAGCAAGTGTTCATTGCGTCTTAATCCGTATGAATTTGTCGTAAATGAATTTGAATTTTAAAGGAAGGAAAAAAAATCTTTATTAGGCGTAATTAATTGATGTAATGATTGACGTCATCGATGAGGTATTTGCCATTATAAATATTTGAATAAGTCATATTATCGAAAATCTTTGTACGATAGGATCTTGGAGGGAATTGATGATCGAAATCGTTGCTTTAGCCTTCTCGGTCGACACCTACGAAATATTTCTTTATCAATTTGAAATTGATTGTACGTTGAATGATAATGCATGTACACGTCATAAACATAGTTGAATTTTCATTCGGTCGAAAGAAAATGTTGATGTTGTTATTGTGTATTGAAGAACGTAATGGCCCATAGATTGTTCGGAAAAAGTAGAAAATCCCGGCTGAGCTTTTGAATTTCGAATAAAGATGCAAAATATTCTTAAAATTTACTTTAAATTTGAGTTCATATTTAAGAATCGAATACTAATGTATAAAAGCTCGTATATAAATGTGGTCCCTGGACAATGATACAACCAATCATTGTTTAAAAAAGCCATGTGACTGCAAAATCGAAGGGAAAAATAGAAAAAGCTTATTGATCGATGGTTATAATTGTTTGCTATTTTCAAATAAATTTTGAATAGACGTGGCAAGCCAACCAGCGGCATTAGAAGTTTCTCTGGAATTCTTTAGAAACTATTTGCTTGGTAATTGCATAGTAACGATTTTAAAGGTAATTGTATAGGGAACTCCTACAGCTAACATTTTCTACTTATGTAAACTTGTATAAATAAGGCACTTAAAAGATTCCTTTTTATCATTGGGTCGTTTGTAATGATGTACACTTAAGATGTATATTTATCGTTGTATTGCAAGCCTCGTGGAAGAGAATAACATCCCAAAAGCTTGTACATACAACAGGCCTCCCTGTTTATTCGACACTGCCATTGTTGCGGTGGTCAGAGCCGAATTCCAACCGGCATCTTTTCTTCCTCTCCGAAAAGTCAAAGAAAAGTCCCGTAAAGAAGCGGGAGAGGATTGTCTAGGTCATTACCTGAGCTGACTCCGACGAAGAAGCGCGAGACGATCATGACGGTCTTGTGGTCGCCCGGTAATACCTCGATGGCACTGTAGACGGCCGAGGTGAGGGTGAAGAGGGCGAGTGTTATGAGGATGGGCAGCCTGACGGAGCCGCTGCGATTGCCCCACCAGCCGACCAGCGGCGAGAAGAGCATCTGGCCCAAAGGATTGGCCGCCACGACGTAGCCCATAAATTCCTTGCTCGCCGAGTTGTCCAGCTGAAAATTTTTGCCAACGCCGGACTTAATATTTCAACTTCGATCCTCGTAAATTCGTCGCGTGACCCACGCGAGATTCCCTCTTTGTTTATACCTCCTCCGCCCTGTGGCTCCCTGCCCCGCCGTTCCTATACCTGTGACTTTTTTGCGTGTCGAAGATCGCGCGCGGGAACCGAGAGAACAAATCGAGGGATGTTAAGGGGGATTCCGGGGCCATCCGCGCGGCCAACTTGTCGCCGTCTCCACGGTTTTATTTTTTGTCTTTATAGGAGGCCCGAGGAATCTCATCAGTCCTTTGTGGTCCACCCCCCCCCTCTCTCTCTCTCTCTCTTTCTCTCTTCATCGTCGTTGCTTAAACAAAGAGGGAACGCGATATATATATATATATATATATATATATATAGAGAGAGAGAGAGAGAGAGAGAGAATTAAAACAGAAAAATTCACTTCTTCCTTCGGATGTTACAGACTGTGCATTTTTCCTTCTATCTCGGCTTCTTCTTCTCGTAGAGTCTCTCTACTTCTTCGTCATCTCTTTTTTTTTTATTTTTTTATTTTTTTATTTTTTATTCTTTAAATGGGAATTCAGGATGGTTTTTCGGCACACTTCAAATCGTTTCGGTAGAGAATTTTAATTCAATACATTAGAGCCACAAAAAGTACGGTCGATGGGAAATTTATTACACGTGGTCCGTGCTTTTTTTTTACGAACACATTGGTATAAGTAAGTAAGTATAAAATTTAATATTTAATCGAAATCATCTTTTGTAAGGCGCGAGTGATACATACATGGAATAATATGCAGTGGAAGTAAAGATACTTTTATTCTTATGGCATTTATGGTCAAATTTTAAATTTTAACTTGAAATATAGCAAAATCGATAGAAGCATACTCTGAATAATGTAATATATACATTTTTTTTAAGTATTTATGTAATATTCTTAGTGTATGAAAGAAATCATTGAATGACAGATTTATATATTTAAATGTTATTATTTGTAATTATTGAAATTATTTGGCATTTAAGATGTCATGAAGTTCATTCGATATTTATCTATCCTTTTCTTTATTAAATCTATGACTTTATTAAGGCCTAGTCTTATGTTGTTTTTTTTTTTTTTTTTTTATATAAATAAAGTGCAATTTCTTAGGTACTTTAATGATAAATGAGCTGCTTAATTTTTCTCGATGTTTAACACAACGGATAGCTAGCAAGTAATAAGCGTCAAAAAATTAATTAAAAATTTCTATGCGATTTAATAATTATTAAGAAGACTATAATTCACAGGTACGCTTTGTACGTAAATGGATGTATAAGAACTTTAATGTCCCTGTGAATACTTTTATAACTTCTTTAAGAGACAATTACATGAATATTAGCGGAGCTTGGCAAATAACGAATTTTCCATAATAGCTACTTGCAAATAATTAAAAATGAAATTGTATGCGATTTCTCTCTTTTTATTTTTTATTTGATATCTGTGTACGGTCAGTTTTCACCAATAATGCCTTTATGTTTAAAATAAAATTATCTATATCTTATAAAGCAATAAATTCAAATATAGACAGGGACAAAGGCTTATTTTTCTAATTTTTCATCTAATTATCGGTAAAATAGAATAATAGAATATTGCCAAAATTTTATAAGATTTAAGATTAAAGAAAAATCATTTCAAACCAAATGACCTACAAAAGATCATTGTATTGAAAAAAGTTTTCAATGCACATTTACAATATCGCTTTACAAAGCACGTCGAAACTTATTTATTATCACGAGTTTCAACATTCGTAACTTTAACGCGATAAAACAGATTTTTCAAATCATAAACATCATTATGCGATTATGACATTAATTTATTCATTACCAAAAGTCCCGATGCATAAAGGGGATTTAAATACTGTTAATCAAATAATGCCGAGACGCGTGTGTTGCAAATTATGTAACTTTCGTGTTATATCATAGAGAGCATCTACGAAACTTTCGAAGGAAATGGCCGTGCGCGGGGATTAACGAGCAGGAGAGCGAAAGCTCTAAAGCTACGCTTGAACTGATTGTAATGTGGTTGGTTACCTTTTCCAAATATGGCCAGACCCCGGTCAAGATAATGCTGAATCCCAGGGACATAAGAAACATGGTGAAGTAAATGATGTAAATACTTCTAAAGCGCTCCTTCCGCTCCTGAACGGTTTCGAGATCATCGTCGACGGGAAGTGGGCGCTCAACCCTATTTAAACAAAGAACGTTCATCTCTCGCTTATTGGTCGTACTTCAATTTTTCATGCCTACAAATCATCTTGCGAAATTACGCCGCTAACTGTTCAGCATCAAAGCAATATCCAGCTATACTAGATTCGTGTGCGTGTCATTCATCTTAATACTTCTCCTCCTCCTCCTCCCCCGCCCCGCGCTATCCCAATCACCCCGTTCAAACGTTCACCCTTCCCTCGCCACCGCCGCCACAATTACGAAGCTCGATTATTAAAGCCATTAGTCATGCGATGTTTCGGGAGTACCGTTATTTTGGAAATTGTCGAAAAAAGTATGCGCGCTCCAGCAACTGTTTCGCTTTGAACGGTGCGATTTATTGCATACATACTACGTAAAGGAAAGTAGTAGTCGGTTATATTCATAGAATTTTCCGTGAAATTAACCTAATCTCGCGATTGCCAGTCCTCCCTCTGCCATTCTCGAGACTACTTTATGAAAAATTTAGAGCACTTGCAAACTTTGAATATCACACCAGAATTAAAGGTGGCCTGATTTTTCGCTAGACTTCTTTATTATATTTACATATGCATTAGTAAGCATAAGAAGTAAAAAAGAAAAAAGAAAAAAGAAAAAAAAATGCTTATTTCAGCGCTTATAATAATTTTCATTTACTTTTATTATCAATTGCTTGACTTGACAAGCTGCTACTAAATAACTATATTTAGCGTCTCAACTAAATAATTCGGTTTTAAAGATGAACTGTATTATCGTATATTTCGCAGCAAATATTCTTCCACAATTTAGTCAGAATATCAATGAATTTTGCGACTAAAGTTAAATGACGTAAATATTAATGAATAATTAAATAATTCAAAGCGCATTGGATGAAAATACTTATCTAGTACACATGAAAAGTTACGTAAAAATAAAAAAAAAAAAAAAAAAAATAGAAAACACGTTCGGTAAAATTGAATCAATTTATATGCGAGTTATTTATTGCTAAGAAACATTTGTTTATCAAACATTTTTATGTATTATTTTTCTTCCCACATGTTTATACTATTTTAATTTTAGTATTAATGTAGAATTATCGTAATTATATATATATATATATATATATATATATATATGTCACAAGCGTCAATAGGTACTATAAAGCTTCTATCTTGTCAATTATTTATTTGCTCAAAAACAAACAAAAAAAAAAAAACCAAAAAAAAAAACAAAAAAAAAACGCCTCGTTTAACTAGATTTCGTTCTAATGTTTGTCAAATTATAATGAATTCATCCCTGTACATATTCTTCTACTCCAATATCTATTTTTCTATTTTTCACATCTTATTGGCCCATAGTAGCTTAAAATCGTCCACCTATAATTAAAGTTACCTCTATGCACTTAACCACTAGGGAATTAGAAATGCGGATGCCGAGTATTTGGAATGGAAGTTTTACTTTACATTTTTCACCTCGCGTATGACTAGCCGGAGCAACGTAAAGTCTCGGTACTTGACGACTAACCTGTTATTTCATGAGCTAGCGTTACGCATTTATGTCAAGACCAAGCACGTGCGGATAGTGTACTACGTCAAGTTTGAGCACCATATAATTCGTGCATTGAAACATCTAAAGGGATTTTAAACTTTTTATTACACCTTATAAGAAATACATTCTCCACGATGAAATGAAATTAGTAGTCTTCCGTTGTACGTAGGTACGTATTTAACGTTGGAGAGAGAAAAGGAAAACTTTGTAAAATGCTTAATAACGTTCACAAATCACTAATACCAATTCCTTTGATATTTAAATTATATGCATAAGGGCATTATATGATAACTCATCAGTTTAATATCAATTTAATTTCTAAAGCTAATCTAGCCTTATTCGCGCATGATATTGATATTATTGAAGCTTCGTGTGTTCATCGACTGTACATTTATTTGACTGTACATTAAAAAGAAAAATATATTCCGTTTGAAAATTTTCGGATTATAATTAATCTAACAAATTAGCTGAAATAAATTTTATATCTCTCCGGGCGACCGAACATTTCTTTAAAACGAGTTCTCATTTTTCATAGCAAATCTGCTTCTATTGAGATCAAGACCCCAAGTCATAAAATTATTAACCTTTTTTCCTGACACTTTCTGAAATTTCTCAACATACACTATACACTATTTATTATTCCCCCCCCCCCCCAATCAAAAATTACTAAAAGAAAATTGCACGCATAAGTGTTTTTTTTTTTTTATTTTTATTTATTTATTTATTTATTTATTTATTTATTTTTTTTTTTTAATGTTAAAGCATAAATCAGTACAATTACAATAATAATAAGTCTCGTTACGACTTTAAAGAATTTGCAATAAAGCATTATGTTTCTTTTTGAGAAAATTGGTATAAGTTTAAGTTAAAATTGAGTCGTGTATCGACCCGTTAACCCAGATTGAAACATAACTTTTTTTTTTTTATATAAAGATTCATTCAAAAAAAAACTCAATCCTTTTAAGGTATTCCGGAGGTTTCAATCTAAGAGCTAGTAAGTAATAAAAATTTACGATTGCACTTACACGAGTGAAAATATTTAACAATCTTAAATCGCCCGTCTCTAACCAAAGGTTTCTTATGTGGGCGAGTTTTGAAATTAATTTATTATTTTTTATTAAAGAAGTTTGAAGAATCGGGTAGAGCCTTTCCCCCTCCTCTCGCCTCCCTCCCAATCCCCCTCCTCTCTCCTTTAAAACAACATAGATAATATTACAGACGGCGAAGTAAGCGAATTCACGAGAAAGTGGATAGGACTGGCCGAGATCATAATAAAATCACGTCTACCTATTAAGAAAAATCCTAATCAAAATATCTGGCTAAGAATTACAATTGTTGGAAATCGCGATTGTTACTATTGCCTTTGGCTTGTTTCTGCCTTGGATTATTACGCGCTATCATTGTACGGGCAATAAGCGATGCCAACGAATGTGAAGAAAGCCAAAACTGTTTAAAGTCGTTCAAGGCTATCAGCTGCAGTCGTAAAATGATTCGGTAAACTGCGCGAGTTCGACGGATCACGTACGTACATGAGCTTGGAAGGTTGAAATTCTTTCGAGCAAAGCAGCTCGTAAAATAGCCATATTGGGAAATGTATTTTGAGACGAAAAGAAGTGACGTAGATTACCAGAAGTATATAAATAATGAATATTACAAGTCATTTAACGTGTCAATGATTTTATAGACTCGAGGCTTCCATAAATGCCCCATGTATATTTCATGCTAGTGATTGGTCTCTAGTGAAATAGCATTTTGAGCTTAAGATCGAAGCTTTTTCATTCGTTCATTGAGAAAAACAAATGAAATCGGAGTAAAATCACGGCATCGTTTATCCATCATCTCACAATTTTAGATGAAAAATTCTTTATTGTAAAAGCTCTCGTTCACGGATCTACCATAATTGATTGTATAAGTATAGTAGTATTTATTATTGTTGGTATTAATCGTTAGAGCGAGACGAAATAATCGGATGCTTCGTTAAACTAAGTACGCGCTTTTCAAAGAATTATAATTTTATTAACGAATTCCAATAATCAATATAAGAGGCGGAAAGTGTTCTCGGCAGATTCATATAACGCGAGAAAGGAAAAGGCCACATTTTATCGGCAAGCTAATAAAATTCGGTATATTTGGATGGCACCAAGTGCAGCTGTATTGAGTGAAAACTTGGTAAAGTCAATTGTCTTTAATCAACGAAACCCGCGATATCAATTATAATTGCCGATCGATATCGATGATAACGACGTCGACATTTACGCCTAAAATTCTTATCAGATTCATTCGGCCGGTGCATCCATTCACATCCGCATCCCTATCCGCATCCGCATCCGTATCCACATCCGCTTCCGCATCCGTAGCCGATTCAACAAATCGACGATCGAAAGCGCGTGACAAACCTTTGCCGCCACCAGGTCGAAGTCCTTCGCCAGCAGGTCATCCTCGCGGGACGTTATCGTGTCGCTTGGCTGAAAGAGCTCCCGCGCGGCTCGTTCGCACGAGGATAAGAAATGGAAGGGGGACGATCGACGAAAGAAAGACCCTCGCAGCTCCACCAGTAGCGTCGATTTCGGGAGCCTGCGTCATAAAACTCGCTCATTGCGAGAGGATATCATCCTTCTGTCCTTGTCGCCGCAGTGCTGAAGTCCACTATGACTCTGTAAACAAGTGTCCTTTTGGTTGGTTCACATTTTTATATTTATGGTAACTATTATAATCAGTGAGCGGATACTATTACAGATCTCTCTCGTCACCCCACCCCACCCCCCCCCTCCAACCATCAATGCCGTTCTCATCTATTAATTCTTCTACTCGGAAATTATTTCATTATGACATTTAGATAGATAAACTCACTAATGGAATTCGCATCTACTTTTCTATCGACTTTTTTCGATCAGCTATTGTGGAGTTTCGTAAAATTTTAAGCTTCATTATATCGAATACAATTACATTGCAAAAAATTGGCATTTACGCGTTTGCAAATTGAAAAATCTATTATAAATACGCGAATTGAAACCATTCTCGTTTGAGTTAAAATTTATATATATTGTTTTTATAATCAATCGCAATGCTATAAAGTAAGAATGGATTTCCCTTGTTGTTGTTGTTGTTGCTGCTGTTGTTGTTGTTGATGATGTTGTTGTTGTTGTTGTTGTTGTTGTTGTTGTTGCTGTTAAAAAATTGCGAAATCTTGCTTTCATCGTTTAAATTAATAGAATTTGTCATAATTAAAAACGTTGGAAATCCTTTCTTTGAAACGATATTTTTCAAAGCTTTTATGCAATGAAAAGTTATCTCTATTTTTATATGGTCGAAGAATATCGTGGCACAAACAATATCTTGCTTTTCGAAAATATTTCTACCATCGTTTCGGAATACATACACTTAGGAATACAAGCACGTATGTAACTGTGTGCATGTGCATGCATTAATGACGAACGGATTAATCATACTTTATTTGAAAATTGCACTTTATCGTATGAGAATATATGAATATTTTACAATAGTATTAAATGAAATTTAA